TCCTTTGGAAGTACCGCGAACTGGTGTTTTATTATTCAGATGTGAATGGATCAAACAGAATTCTTGTAATGAGTGATAAGGAACTATTAAATGCAATGGGTGAAGACACAATCTTTGAGACGGAACTTTTGTGAAAGTCCCAAACATGTTTTATTAACTGTATACGTAGGAAATTCTTATCCACCTTTCATTTACATCTTGCTGCAGAAAAAATGCCAGGATTCATGGCAGAATGTTTGAAATAATGAAGCTGTTACTTCCAGATTCCATGCCTGGGAATATGTTTTGTGTAGGCTTCCATGAATGTAGTGAGAATCTCATTTCCAAACACAGAAATCAAACGGTACTATATCCATTTATGGTAAAGCCTCATTAGGAAAATGAGCAATCTCGGCCTAAACTCTGCGTTCGAGACGGATGTGAACATAAAACTGCAGCTGAAGTCTCTGACTGCTTTATCGTTTATCCCGGTCCGTGATGTCAAAAGTGGTTTTGTTGAACTTGCGGCCCCATTTCCCCATAAACCATTGTATGATGCGGTTTTCACATACTTCTCCACATACATTGAGGGTGCTGCAGACAGAGATCCACGGTTTCCATTGCACATGTAAAACTATCACGATGTGCAGACTTTGAGATGTCGCCGAAAATGAAGGGTTCCACCATGCCTTGAACTCTTGATTCCACTAAAGTCATCCCAGCATCTGGTCTTTGTTGGATTACAGAAGGACGCTGTTTGTCACAGACTATCAATGGCTAGTGCGCAGGCAGATCGCCTAGAGGTGAAGAAGAGATATTCTGTGCTTTAACACTGGTTCGTCTCCTGCGCCAGTGATTATAAATAGAAGTCAGACACACTGAAATATCTGCGCAGACAGGCAAACTTGCAATATTTAATATTGATGATAGTGTAGTATATGTGAGAATTTTTGTACAATACTGCCATCTTTACAGCAAAAATATTTTATTGATCGTTTTTTTACGTGACAGTCATGTGAAAGTGGACGTTTCTCCACGTCAGCATTTTATGGTAGCAAGCCTAAACATCACTCCAGAGAAACAGAATCGTGAAGGGGCACGCTTTTATTGTGCGCATACAAGTGTCCCTGTATACAGTGACACCGGAGAACTATGCTGTTTGGGGAGACGGGAATAGCAGCGCGTGTTGTACACAAACAAACCTTGGTACATCTGCAGGCTGCTACGAATTTTACGCCCACACGTTTTTCTGGGTGGAAAATTTTCTATCTAGGTACTTTTCCAAATGCAGTACCATTGTGTAGATAGTGGCTGTCGGTCATTCGGCACGGTCACCAACCTCATCATAAGTAAAGACGAACTCGGTCTGGTCACACTAAGTGCGTTAGAGCCACCGAATCGCTGAGGTTTCGACAAACTACAGTAGGTGAGCGCTACTCTGTCTGTTGCGTATTCTGAATCATTGACGGAGGATTTGTCACATAAGACAGTCCTTTATGTGCAAAGCGATCGAACTGATGTATTTCGTCGTGCGCCACTTTTCCTGTGCACGTTTTTCCGTATACGCATGTTTCCATTACAGATTTTTCCGCGTCCTCTTTTTGCTCTGCGCAATTTTCGTGTGCGCTTTCATCATGGAACCGAAGGATTTATTCATTTGGCTTGTATTTTAGATGCAGTGTGAACGAACTCGTTAAATTACCTTTGATTCACACCTTGGAAACAACGGTTGCGCAAGGATTGATTGTCCGAAATTGTTTTCCTCGTCCCCTGAATAGGCTTGTGCTACATCTCGAAATACAACCATTTCTTCCATACCAACATTAATCTTATCATCGTTTTCGAGCATGTGTCCGCCCATGTGCGTCAGTTGCCGGATGGATACGATCCCTCTTTTCTGTTTTCCAAATCGAATATGTGCGTATTAAAATTCCACTCCGTTAATTCCACCTTATTTACGAGAGGTTTAAATCTGGATGACCAACCCGCGTCGTTCCTTAGCAGAATCGGAGGCAGTAGTGGCATTCAAAGTGGAAAAGCTAGGCGAAGACCTCCGATTATATTAGAAAAATCTCTTATTCGGCCATGTTTGTTGTGATCCACAGAAGCGATGGAATCGGATACAACGCATGGAGTGGGACGGTTTGCAATTAGTTGACTGGAAGTTATAAGAAGGCAAAGCAAGAGAAATGGCTCTGCATAATCTTCCCCGACCTACATCGTTGTTTGTGAGTGATTTGCGGCTGTTCGGCTCATTGCCATTTCTTCGTTATACAGCAACGTCCAGTCTTGTGACATAGGCCAGCGTGACAAATATCGAAGAGAACCGACGGAGCTAATTCACCGCATTAAGGGTGGTTATCTCAACGTATGCAAGAGTGAATATAAAACGACAAAACGCTGACGATTTTTGATGGGCAAAGGTTTTGTGATTATGGAGGAAGAGTGCCTTTGGGATGGAATCTGAAACCTTCAGATGGCTACTTTTACCGACATACCTATATGGGACTGATGAAATCTCTCAAGAGAGGGTCCAACTCAGAGTCACTTACCTGATGTTAGTCACAGTATGCGGTACATCTTTAGAGCGGAAAGACTGAATCGTGCGAGTTGTTTTCGAATGACGGCGCATCATGAGGCTGCTTCAGTTTGAAGTTGCCAGGCGAGCTGCTCCAGCAGGTGTGTCCGATTGTATTTGCTCCCTAGTGGCGCTTACAAGTTGGGGGTATATAGAATCGTAGTTCAAGGACGCAGATTTAGATCTACGGCACTTTTGTCGCTTTTAAGGAAAAGATTTATACGCAAAAGCAACGGAATGCTCATCTGTGATCCACTTAAAGCGTTTGTCAAACAATTGGTGTCCCCATTTTCGCACTACCTAAACAATTGCGTGGGGTTTCTTTACATTGCGAAACCTTTTTCCCAATTGAAGCTACAGTGTAAGAGCAGAAAGCTGCTAGTCTTTCGTTCTTTTTTAAGGCAGCTGAGCTAGGCACATCGGAGGCATATTCAAATCACTGGAGGCACTTGGCGGTCGACGTGTGGGTAGATACGACATTTGTGTTCTCTTAACTCCTCGGAGGACATTCGAACAGCTGGTGTCATGGGAAATTCCGTGTTCCGAAATAGTGGGCTGATATTGTCAATGCAATGCGGTATCCGTTGAACGTAAGCAAACAACCCCGCCACTTTCCGATTGTAGGAGACCATTCTTGTAGAAACCTGTCTTTCAGGCTATCATTTGGCTGTTCCTCTTGAGATTTCGTATCTAAGAAACCTGAGATGCGGAAATTGACGGAGAGGCATGACCATGCTGAATGGAGCTTCGGGATTGGCCACATCAGTGTTCAGGAACCCCATCTCACAAGGCGCGGTCAAGGATTTAAAGACCTTCCTGTATTCGTCTTCTATCGTCAACCTACTGATATTTCACTGGTTAATTACTGCCTTTTTTTTACTCATCCGTTCAGTGTTGTGATCTCATCGACTATATGTCTTACGTTCAACCACCGGCGCCTTCACAGTTTAGCTCACATCTGGTGGGAACACAGCGTGAGCAATGAGTGTGTTCGGCGTTTTGTATTTGGAGCTGTACGCTATCGGGCGCGGTTCCAGGTTGCGGATTGGGGAATGCTTTCGTTGTGGAGGTAACTGCGAATAAGTCTCGTCTGCTCGCAGTCACAGACAGTCAGCGGTAGCGTCTCAGATCGTGGATAGTTCTGGGCTGGTCACTTGGTTGTCCATCAAATACTACCAGGTCTCGTACGGCGCTGTGTCAAAGCCAGTGTGACCGGCTATAGGGTCATTGACCACTCACTTTTGTAACCAGAGGTGGGTACCCAACATAGGTCCGATGAGCAACTTTGTTGGCCACCGGCTTCTCTGCGGACCGCAACCGAACACAAAGTAGGCGTACGAGCTATTCGGATGTCAACGGTCTTCGTTAATCACTCCGCTGCCTTGCGGCTCAGGTCTTTGTGACCAAAGGCTCGGGATGGAGTCCCTAATGTCAACCCTCTTCATCGTCCTGGGCAAACGCGATGGTCTCTGCCCACACAATGCATGGAGCTTCTAAAGCTTATTAACTCTTCCATTGACCATCTGTTTTCCCCTTCTTGTTCCTGTTAACTATGTATTCTAACATTGCCAACTGTATATTGGACAAGTGTTGAATAATAATATAATTTAGTGCAGGAAAAGCGAGTGAACCGCTCAGCACCGTTATATCACACATCAGACTCTAATGGCTGGTCACTTGTTGCGCATGCCAGCCCACTGACTCCCTCGACATGCGTTTCTTTTTCGCGCCCGGGGTCTGGGTGGAAAAAGGGATCAGGCCAGTGATGAGTAGGTCACGAGGATTGAAGTCCCTCACTTTGAAGTTGGCCTCGGTTAATGCATCCCTACTGCCGAGCTGGGTTCCGAAGGATGCTGAACACGTTTGGTGGTTGAATACACTAGCTGGGATTGTGAGGAGCCGATCTCATTGGCGTTTGTATAGTGTGTCTCTGTGGCCTTCTTTCCTTTGAAGTGATTTTTCTAATTTCCGTGAGTGATTGATTTTGAACGTCTAAAGACATGAAATTATGTCGAAAAGCCTTTTCCTGTGTGCGAAATAATCAAAAAATAAACACAAACTAACCGATGTCAACAACGTCCTGCGCTGGAGTATCGTGGCAAGTGCAGTCTTGACCGCGCTGTCTGCTCCAAGGCATTGCTTCGTCTGCCTTCCACTCGGGCTCCGTTCTGCTTGACAAAATCGGTATTATATGTTTACATTTTGGCTACCTTTTCATTCAAAGTAATTATTTCTTTTTTCAAAAGCTTTCATCTGTTTATCTAATAATCTTAACTTGAATGCATATTCTCGCAATACATTGCATATAATTTATCTATGTACTTTTTCAATTATTTTCGTCATCATCAGCCATTTGTATTTATACTTTTTCTAACCACACGATATATTACGTGACTCCAATAGAAATCTACTCTAATTCTGCTCACTTCCTTTTTCATCGCAGGTTCTTCCAGATGTCCAAAATGAGCAAGCATCCAACACATCCACTGCGGTTCCCCATCCTTTTCCGCCACTATCTGCCGCGTTGACACCACGATTACACACCAGTACGGATGAACGGCCGTCTGCTCTCCTGTCCACAACTTGCCCTAACTTCGTATCTTCCAATCCTCAGGCCAATAATGCACTAAGCCCACGGTCATATAAACTTCCCGGATACCACTCATTAGAGACCATTCAGTAAGTGGCCACTAGGATGGTGTTTCATTTACGCGTGTTGCAGTTTGAATCCCCTTGGTGTGTTGCTGCCACGCAGTTCATCCGGGGTATTTGTCACGCCATGCGATCTGACAAAGCACAATGCGTTGGACCAATCCACCGCAGTATTTTGTGTGTGCGTCTTGGAATATTTCTCGATCTCATAACAGCGGACCCTTACCCAAGCGATTTGTTGGTGAAGCTGCAGTACAAACGTAAAAAATACACGTTATGAATTGTTTTTTTTTGCTTCCTTTACGGCCACGAGACATAGAACACCAGCTAATTTGAGTCAAATAAATTCTGCCACCGCGGTCGAACAGCCTAGCTTTCCGAAAATCCTGGCAATGTTTTGTTTCCATCAGCGTAGACTCCCCAGACTATTGACTGTACTTTAACATGCAACGGACCTCGAGGAGGAGTAACCCTAGTTTATTCTCCGGCATAAACATGTGCGTGATTGTTGAATTCAAGGTGAACAAATCGTGTGTGTGTGTGTGTGTGCCGTCTTTTTGACTGTCTGGTAGATGTTTGAATTCACCGTGGTAAATTTTTGGAATGTAACCTAAACTCCATATGCACTACTCGGGATGTTAGGAAGTATTTTGCATCACGGTACCAGTATTTCGACTCTTCCTGATGACTATTTCTCGCTGGGTCACGTGTAATCAACGAATTCGTTTTCCCCCAAGGACTCAACGCTTACCGTAGCTTCCATGAGTTCCCATCTTGGATTCCTGGGGTGTAGACCTTTCATCACCATCTGAGGTTGGGGTTGCCAACGCGCTTCGCCTCTTAAAGCCAAGATGAACTCCCTCCGGCTCTTCCCAAAGTTGGAAGCTCATCACTTGTTCAACAGTTAAATTTTCTCTTCCAAGTTATCTGTGTCACGGAAGTTATCCCATCTGATTGGAGCCTAGCGGATATCGTGCCCGTCTTCAAAAGAGGTACCCGTACTGACTACGCCAACCAGTGAGATTATTCTCATCTGTATTGCTTCCAAGATTCTTCCTGCTGTTCTTTTAAGAAGGCACAGGTTGGTACGCGAACAGAGCATACTTAAAAAGCAAGCTGGCTTCCGCTCAGTTCGGAGTTGCATCGTTCACATTTTTACATTCCGCCAAATACTCGATCGTCCTCAAACATTTGGCCGGTTAACGATCGTTATCTTCTTAGACATACGAGCCGCTTTTGGCTCAGTTGACTGAATTGCTCTCTGGAGTTGTCTACTGAGTTGGAGAGCGTCTGGGCAGTATGTCAGCACTCTTCAAGTTATCTACTCTCAAACCTCGGGTGGAGTGCAGGGGTACGGCTGGTTTTCGCTCCCGTTTATTATTACCAGTGACATGAAACATCCCCTTGTGCAATTTTGCTATGGACGAATTCCTGGAAAGTGTTCTGGCAAACTGCAACCCCAGCTGCGTCGAGCTGCTTCCGAAGGACTGACTTCAGAATTTGGAGTATGCAGACGACATCGACGTAATCTGCGATTCTTCACGGGCCGCCCAAAATGTCCTGTGTAGTTTGGGGATTCTGTCTTCCAGTTTGGGATGACCGCACCATCAAAGTGCAAGGTCTTCTTACAGGACTGGCTAGCCGCTGCTTCTATCGTTACCCATTCAAGTCGTTCGTTGGAAGTGGTAGACAAGTTCGTTTACGTCGGAAGCTACCTCAACGCTAATGGTTTAATGGATGAGGTCTCTTTGCGCGTCTCCAAGACTCGGGTTGCTTTTCTAAGCTCCGCCATTTCTGGCGTCGAAGCAATCTGACTTTATCTCTGAATTGCCGAGTTTAGAATGCCACAGTGTGAGCGGTTCTACTCTATGGCTGCTGGACTTGGCCTGTTCGCTCAAAGGATGTTGCGAAGCTGTCTGTCTTTTGATTATCGCTGCTTTCGAAGCATTGCTGATGTTCGGTGCCATCATCCCACTAGTACTGAGGATGTTCGACGGCGGATTTTCAGATCAGACAGACTTTGCCGACCACTGAGCTGTATAATTTCGCTGCGCAGACTTTAGTGGCTTGGGCATGTTCGTCGCAAGTGCACTCATCGTTTATTTCGCCGTGTCCTCTTCGCACGCACAGAAGGCGGCTGGAAACGAAAGCAAGGTGACCCACGTGTGACTTGAACCAGGAGCATGTAGGAGTTAACATCAGTGTTAACCGTGCTCGGTTGCTGTCGGCTCCCTGGCTGGGGTGTGAAGGATCGGGAACACGCATGGCTGGAAACACTTTCGGATATGGTAAAAAACCGTGTGCAGTGTCTGACTTGTTGTGACTCCATAGTCCATAGTCGATCCCAACTCGTGCTTTGAAGTCATCCGTTATCTTCTGATTGCTTGCCACTACACAATCTGTGCTGTCCGCGTTGGTATGTGTCGGCGTCCACAGTACCAGTACACAGTACAGTACAGACAGCTTGTTGGGATTACTTGGTACAGGATCTTATAATACTTACCCATACCAAACAAGAGAATCAGAAAACTGCAAAATAGTGGTTGTTGGCCGCCCGAAATCACTGGACTCCACGACGGTTTTCGACCTAGTTTGCTCTCATCAGATAAAGAAAACAAGAGACGTAGTTTGTGAGATGACGTCGTCATTTCGTGCATTCTTACCAATCACAAACTGGTAACATTTATATATAAGCCAAAACAGTGTCACCAGAGATCGTACATGGCCAAGCGCATACACCACCAAAGTAGACTTAGAGCCGCAGTCAACTGTTTTTGAATGCACAACCGTGGGCTTTCCTGGTCGATAACGATGACCTCCAGTAGCCTAAGAATGTGGAGCCATTCCTCGCGCATTAAGACTGTGAACCGACTCATCAGGGTTGACTCGGTGACCGGTGCTCAGAAAGTGCCTTGTGATTGCCAAGGCGGCTCGACTTCTCCATTTATCCGATTCCGCCACCACCGATCTCGTTCGGCTGCGTATCCACTTGGGAATGTATTCATTGATCCTGACTGACACCTAAATATCGGTCAGTGTGTTCGACATAACTGTTTTCGCAGCTACGGGTGAATTTGTATAAGCAGTGTGGTACACTGCCTCATTGGTTCATTGAGTGGTAGAGAGCAGAAGGGAGGTCCCGTGTCAGCTCCTTCACTTCCCGATCTTCCAAGCATTGCAGGCGTAGTAGCTGTGTCATAGCTCAGGATGTAGTATCAGTCCGGCAGGATCCTGGGGTACTCAGTAGGAAGATGTCTAGCAAACGTCTGCAGCTCGCTTCTGACTGCGCATTGACAATCGGGTCCGGCAGTCGGTTCCAGTCATTAATTACTCGAGTAGAGAGAGAGCCACATCTGAGCGGACTTTGAACCTCCTCGGTTTAAACAGCCTCCAGCTATGACCTCGAATCGAACTGCCAAGCCTTTGCTGAAAACTGCCTCAGCTCGTTTCCCAATTCTTTTCGTAGTATACGCCTAGTATGGATGAGGTCTCCGCGACGTCGGCGATAGTCTAAGGAAAAAGTTTCATCCTCTGTAGTCGGGCGGGGTAGGGGAGTTCACCTAGCCCAAGGACAAATTTCGAGGCACGTCGTTATCGGTGTCTTAGTGGAGCACGTAAGCAAAGGTCTTATAGACGTGAGAAACCGCAGTTCACCTGCAACCCTTTCCTGTGAAGCACTTGTTCATTTTTCGATGACCTTCCTAATGCAGTCACCTTGGAAAGCTAGCTTCTTTGGGACCGTGGAACATTGTGTTTCCTCTAACCACTTCATCAGCGCAAAAAGAAAGAAATATCGTAATATATTACACTTTCCATTGCTCCCGTCAATCGCGGACGCAATATGTACTGGAAGTGCACGAAAGTGCACACACGGAACATGAAAAGCTCACCAGCTGTACGCCGTAACAGCGTTTCGCTGCCATGCGACCACCACCAGTCGCACGTGGGCTGAGTATACCGCGAGGACGCCGTCCCCCCCCTACGCGGATTCGAACCGGTGACCTTATGGTTGCAAACCAAGCGCGCAGACCACTCGGTCACCGGCCGACATGAACAAACATCTGTGGAATTTTCAGGATCACGTCAATCAGACCGATTGCCTCTCAGTTGCTTTTGTGCGCGACGTACAGGGTGACTTTTTGTGATTCACAGCGCTTCGCCAAGTACCAACCGTTTCGGGACATTGATATGCGCAAGGGAATTTTGAAAGCGATTGATGTGTCACCGTCGTAACGAGGTACTTTGCGATGGACGAGACAGGGTTCCGTTTTGCCACTGCCTTGTGACATCGACTATCTTAACCTACTTTGTAGGTGTGTATACTCTACTTCCTGTATGTATTGCCTCCGCGACTGACGAGAACACTCGTAATGTTATTAACATATCGCGACATTTGTGTTCTTTCTTTGAGACTATTGGCACACAATGTCGTTTGGTTACTTCAATAAGGGTCTTCATAACCTACAAATGATAACCGTTGTATTGTAACATATCGAATGGAAAATCTGCCTCAGCTTTTATGGTTTCTGAAGTGCAGATCATATTTCCCGCGAGGAGGACAGGGCATGTGCCTTTCAACCCGGACGTCACCGGTTCGATCCTGTGTAGGGGACACTCCGTTGCCTTGCGGGTAGGCTATTCAACCAAAGGCCCGGGGTAGTGTCCCCTAAGATAACTCCATACCTCGGCTTGAGTAACCGTCTAGTATTTCGCTCACTGACGGAACCATGGATCCCGTAACTTCTGCTAGTACGTCCTTCGCTTCCGCTCCTCACTGCTTACACATCTCCATCACACCTTAACCATCCTTTTGTCACTAATCCTTTTGAATTTACTTTCAATGACAGTCTCACCTATGTTCAAAGAGTCCGGCCAGTGGCCCTCCTTTGTACTCGATCTCCCTTTCGGCTGGCAGCCTTCAAAATTCGAACCGTTATGCAGATCGGATAACAGCCTCTCCTAACGCGCACCTTGGAGTCCCTCGCTATTGATGTTTGTTGCCTTTCTGAGATTACAGGACTTAAGCA